AGAACTTTGTCTTCTGTGGTTATGTTTACACTTGGTGCCTCAGAGCGGTGCAAGAGTACGATTCTTGCTGGGCAGTAATGTGAACACGACTTTTTTTCGAGTATTCACACCAGAATTCGGCGCAGTGCCCGTGTCCGGGTACAAGGTCTCTCGGGTACTTGAGTCTTTGGAGTACCAGTGACTGAACGCAACACTATTTTCTGCCAGTGCCCAGGCACCAGTGCTCTGGCACCAAGTGTGACATAGCCTCGAGTAAAAGGCGAGTTGAAGGCGAGGTTACGAATCAGGTTTACTTGAGACGATTTTTAACACGAAATTTTATGAAACCCTCCTTCACAATCCTGCGACATTTCAGTCTAAACTTTGTTGGTGTTGCGAAGTTGCTTGAAGATCATATCGTGTAACAGATATGCCTATCATTACGCGCGGAATTCTAGAAGTAGAATCGTAAAAGGCAGCAAGAGGCAGTTTCGTTCGTGGAGCCAGACGCGTAAAAGAAGAGAGAGAGAACATTGGACCGACCCCTCTGCCCTGCTTTCTGCCTTTCATGAGCGAACGAAGGGCGATTTATCGAACTGAATAAAATTGATTAATAAAGTTTCCCATTCACATACCTTATTTCCTCTCTAGACAAAAAAATACCGAAAATTCGAAACAACCATGACCAGACCCCGCCCGAATGTAGCCTATGAATAGCCACGCCCAACTCCTCACTCGTTCCTTCCTGAGCGCGACCGAGCGCGACCGAGCGCGACCTCTCTCCCACTCCTCCCCACTAAATGTTATCTTGGCGGGAAGAATGCCGTGGTCTCATTTTACTGTGTCAGCGGCCATACACCATCGAGTCAAAGTGAAAGTGTTGTGGAAACAGGCGGAAGAAGGGAAAATAACCGACAAATGTTTTTGTTCAAGAGCATTATTTAAAGTGATCAGAAAGTGAAAGATAGGAAAATTTCCATTGTAATGTTACCAAAAACAAATATTTAAATGCTATGTGAAGGTTCTGTATAGCATGACAGCGCAATAATATTAAGTAATTACATGTGAACCGAAGTCCGACCTGCTTTTGCTGAAGAGAAACTTTCACGGCTTGGAAAATGGACCAAGAAGAAGCGAAAACAGAGTTTTGCTCGAATTGGTAAGTATTTTGCTCTATGCATTCATTAGTGATGGAAATTTCGGTCGACCCAAACAACATTTTGGCAATAACATTTCTTTGGAGTGTTCAAAGACATCTATAATTTTCACTGAATTTTTTGATTGAAAAACTGCAGTGTCATTTATTGTGATTCCACTTTTGTTTTAAGCTAAATGGTTTCTTTTAAGTTCACTCTCTCCCTCGGTGATCTGTGTTTTTACAAATGAAAATAACTAGCTTTACAGATTCTGAACAGTGGTCCATTCAGATCAGTCTGCTCGTTATGCAAGAATTTGAAGCGGAAATACGCGTAACAACTTTATTGGTGTTAGCGTTCAGTCGCGTATGTTTTGGTCGAGTTAAAGATTGTTTTTGATGATCTCAC